TTGTTATATTTCATTAAATTTTTTTCTACCCAGCTCTCCAGCCTGTCCATTCTAACCACTGTACTGAGTATAAGTTTAGTATATTTGATTATTCCATTTGGACTTTTTCTCTAAACTTTATTTGTAATCCGCTTGCATCTACATTACAGTGCAGAATGTTTGCTGGCCATTAAGTAGGACATGGCAGACACATTTTTGCCAAAGTTACTGACTGATGAATTGCAATTGTCTATTATTTTTTGGACCATTCACTTCCTCCTTCCTCCTTGAGTTGTTACATTTTTTTTTTCAGTCAGTATGACACTAAGCATGCTCATTGCCTGTAAAAAACTTTGTATCATATTTGTTGTCTATCTTCAAGTCAACTGTTGTACTTCTAGATTTTCAAGACAGCCAGAAAAGCAATGAATGTTTCAGAGTTCTCCTTGAGACCCCAAAGAAGATTCTTCTGAAGCCTTAATAAAGTCAAGAATAAAATATTTCCAATGGAAAACATTTCAAAATGAAGGGTGAGAGTCAGGTGTTGCAGCTCAGCTGAGCTCTACATTGATCAAGCCCAGTCTTTTCCATTCTGCACCCCGAATTAGAGAGGCAAGCAAGTTTTGTTCATTCTGTGATTATGAGTAATCTCAAGCACAGCATTCCACAGCCTCCAATGATTAAAGTCAAGAATAAAATATTTCCAATGGAAAACATTTCAAAATGAAGGGTGAGAGTCAGGTGTTGCAGCTCAGCTGAGCTCTACATTGATCAAGCCCAGTCTTTTCCATTCTGCACCCCGAATTAGAGAGGCAAGCAAGTTTTGTTCATTCTGTGATTATGAGTAATCTCAAGCACAGCATTCCACAGCCTCCAATGATCATTCCCCCTTTTTTTTTTTTTTTTTTCCAGTCCTATCCAGATGCTGGGCCCTCTGGTGGGGCTCAGCATGGAGCATCGGATGAATGAACTACTGTTTTGCACTGTAATCAGTACATTGCAGCAAGTAGAGGAGAATCTCGATGTCAGATTTAGTGTGTTGAACAATCTTTTGAGATTTTGAGGAATTTACCAGTTTGGTATTTAGGATTACACCTTTTTTAAGTTGGGCTGACTGTAAAAAAAAAAAAGAGTGAATATTTACTTGTGGATATCCTTTTCAGGGCCATTCTCATAGGCAATTGAATGTAGTTCCTGACGTGATACTGTGACCTCCCTGGTCTCATTTTAATTATGTTTAATTGTAATAATCATTTTAAACAAATACAATCACTGCATATATAAACATGAGTGTCTGTGAAGATAATATTATATAACATTGCAGAGGCTAATCCTGGAAAGCTAGTCTTTTTTTTTTTTTTTTAATGTTCATCCATATTTGGGTAAAGATGCAGTCAATGTAGGCTGGAAAAAAAGATCATCATGATCTGAAGAGTTCAGGCAACTGTTGTGGACGCTGAATAGCAGCCTGATTACATTCAGCATATACCTGAGCAGATAGAAGGTAGAAGATAGAACAGAATTCAGTGGCTGAGATATAAGAAATTAAGTAGGGAATTAGGCAAGATTTTGCCTAAAGAAGACTTAGTCTTTAAAGATAAATAGGCAACAGTAGTTTCTTTTTGCACCAAAAACTTGTAAATTAAGTTTTCAATGCTTTTCTAAAATATACTCAAATTCCCTCAAAAACTATTGAAATTAATATAAACTTCTCAAGTCAAAACAGTCTTGCCTGTGATAGTTACCTGTGTATCAGCAGCATGAAAATACTGGTGTCTTCTTGTTTTAAAAACTAGGGAGTCTAGCCCCATGTTTACTGTATAACATATGGTTTACAGTGAAATTTCTGTTTTACTTAACCACTTCAGTTAAAATTGACCAAAAAAAAGTGCATTATTTTTGACCTTCCAGTCAACCCCAACCTCTGTGAATTTTTGTTGTTGTTGTTAATTTAAATATATATCACCAGGCAATGCTTCCTCATCTGTGCCATTTTGCAGACATTTTGGTAACAAAGAGATCCCTACAGGGACCAGCACCACAGGTTGCGATATTGTTTCGGTTTTTTTTTTCCTTACATGATTGTGGTGGTTTCACCCAGAGGTAGGACCCTGCGGTCCTGCACTCACTCCCCCCACCTGGTGTGAACGGAATGAAATCACAAAAAAACAGGCACAGATTAGAACAAGGACAGAGACAGCTCACTTGCCAGTTATGGTCTCAGGCAAAACAGACTCAACCTGGGAAAGAAAAATCAATTTAATTCATTATCAGTTATCCAAGTGGCACAGTGAGACATAAAAAACACATCTTAAGACACCTTGCCCCCACCCCTCCCTTCTTCCCGGGCTCAAATCACTTTGCTCCAGATTTCTCTACCTTCTCCTCCACAGGGAATAGGGAATAGGGGGTTCCAATCAGGTGACCTATGCCAGGCTTCCTTTGGAGTCACAGACCTCTTTGGGCACAGCTCCCCACAGCTCTGGCGTGGGAACATCCATGGGCTGCAGATAGGCCTCCAGTCAGGTCAATGGCCTCTCCTCCAGGTTCTTTCTTCCTTCTTCTTTTCAAGACAGTCCTTCCCCTCACAAATAGGGATTTGCAGAGGCGTTTCTCTGTTGCTAATTGGCTCAGCCTGGGCTGGGGTGGGTACACCTTGGAGCCAGGGGAGCTTCGCAAAGCTTCTCACAGGGTAGCCCCTTTCCCCACTACCAAAAACAGCCCCCCCCAAATCCAACACAATGTTGCATTGTGTGGGATTTTAGTTAATTCATTCCTGTTGAATTACTGCATGAACCTTGGTAAGTGATATCTGGAGTGAATCAACAAAAATGTGGGGTCTGGCCTTAGCAAAAGAAAACAAAAGATGATTATTTTCATTATTATAATGCTAAATATTTAGCCTAAAGAGTGCCCCAGTACAGACAGAGAGACTGTAAGTTCTTGCACCTCAATAGTATCAGATGTATGTGCTGTAAGTAAGAATAATACAGGATCAGGACTCTTCCTAAACATACTTACCCTGATAACTAGTGTTCTTTTCTGTTTCTCTAGGTGCGACAGATCCATCGTTAATAAATCAAGGCAGACAGCTCTGGACATTGCTAAATTTTGGGGGTACAAGCACATAGCTAACTTGTTGGCTAATGTGAAGGGTGGGCAGAGGCCTAAGTTTCTGTCAAACGAAGTGAAAGAATATGAAAATTATTTTGGCTTGACACTTCTGGACAGAAAGAGTGATAAAAGAACAGATTCCAAGTGGCTAAGCAAAAAGCAAAGCCATCCAACCACAGTATACATCCTCTTCTCAAATCTAAGGCCTTTGGTTACTTTGAGTGGGGGAACAGAGAGCTCCCAGCAGCCAGAAGTAAAGCTTTGCAGGCTGTATCACAAGGATGTGGAACAATGCATGAATCAAACTGAAGAAAGCACCTTGATTTTTCTTGGAGTTGAACTTCAGTTCCACATGAACCTGCTAGCTGCTTGCAATGGACAAGTTCTGCAAGAAGATGAAGAAGATGGGTTAGTTGCTTGGTTTGCTCTTAGTGTAGATTCTATTTCTGCTGAGAAATTCAAACAGAAGCATGAGGGCTGTTACTTTCTTCACCCACCAATGCCAACCCTACTGCAGCTACCTGAAAAAGAAGCTGGTAAGATGCATAAAATGCAGCAGTTATCAAATTTGTCATCAGAAAGATATGTTTTGGGACAAACTGAGGTATAATGCGAGGACAAACCACTGCAAAGGAGTTGTGTATTTTCAGTGGCTTTAGAGATATTTTCGTTTTAAAAGCCTATCAGTGGTTTTGTGAAGAATTTTGTATCTAAGAACAAGTTCAGTTGCAAAGTGCTAACATCTGCAATGGCAAGTATTAGACTGTAAGATCTATTGAGCATCATGATTTTATAAGTGGTACTATTTAAATATTAAAGCATACACATTGATTTTCTAAAACAAACAAACAAAACAATCCACCATTACTTGAGTTTTCATTACAAGAAATGAAACTAAGTCCCAAATAAGTGTGTTGGATACTCATCTGAGAAAGAAACAGTGTGAGCAAGTGTTGGAAAGTCAGGATCTCAGAGTGCACGGATGTCATTATGGATGTGTTACTAACAACTGCAGTTGTAACGATTTTGCTTTTACAGAAGGATAAAGGGCAAGTCAAGTTGCCTGAAGTTTAAATGGAACAATGCATTATTGTGTCAATACCTGTAATAGCCCTAAAATAGTAATCTGGAAAAGGTGTAATGTACAATTCTGGCACTTTGCCCAGACAAAGTAACTTTTCTGAGAAACGAGGTGTATTGATCTGGATTAATTTGTTTCTGAATGCATAAATTGGTCTGTAGCTACATAGTCCTATTGCATGTGCTGTGCTGCAAAGAAAAGGATGTGAATAACTTATATTGCTCATTTTCTCTTGTAGTAGGTTAAAATTCAAGCCATAGTCTTACTCTGATTTTTATGTTAAACTTTACTAATTGCTTTTGCTATACTATTGAAAGCTTACATGAATTAGTATTTGATTTTGTGTATTTTCAATGTATTCTTTTAAAGGAGTAGTAGCCCAGGCTAGGTCTGTTCTAGCATGGCACAACCGCTACCAATTCTGCCCAACATGTGGGAGTGCAACCAAGAGTGAAGAAGGGGGTTACAAGAAAACTTGCTTAAAAGAAGATTGTCCCAGTCTCCAAGGTGTTCACAACACATCCTACCCAAGAGTTGGTGAGAATATTGCTGGATAAATTTGGTCAAAAGCGGCTTGTTTGTACTATTATATATACATTTAAATAAATTCCTTTTTCATTATTTCAACTGCTTGCTTCTGTCCCAGGTCTTACGTACTTGTCTCTCCCCAGATTATATGTCTCTCAGCTGTATTTAGGATTAAGTGGTTTAGGCTTCTCTTTCTAGTCTGTGACAAAGAATTGCTGTGACAATACCAATGTTCATTGCAATGGAGTAATATCAGTTAGAAGTTCTAACAACAAAAATTGTATATTAACAATACAGAGTGTCACATTTTACTTATTTTTTTTCCCCCTGCATGTTGTTTTCTCACCTTCTGCAAGCCCTCTGAGCATGAAATAGCTCTGTATCAAATTTGTCCCTGCATCAAATTCTTCTTCTGGTAGTGCCACTTCAACTATATTAGCCATCTTCACTGGCTTTCACTACTCATTGTCAGTTGCAAACTGTGAGGACTATTTGTACGCAGGATATAAGCTTGTATAGACAGTCTTCTATTGCTCCTTTTGTTCATGTGTTGCAAAGGAAGTGTACTATGTTATGGACAGGGAAAGAAGGAAGGAAAAAGAAAAAACTTTCCTTTTTTTCCATGGACCACCTTTCCTTCCCCTACCCTGTCCTCTTTTCTGCAGTTGTGGTTCTGGATGTTGTGTGTGAGTTGAGTTTCTGAATTTCATGTTCTTTTACATGCTCTAGAGTAATCAAAGCAATTCTGACATATTCTTCTGTCTTATGGACTATAGTAAGCTTGCTAAAATACTAATGACTGTTTCTTTACAGCCTCTAAAACAGCAAACTTGGAGAAAGAATGGGATTATATAGGAAAAACTGATGAACCAGCATTTTCTACTGATGCTTTCTCTGAAGAAAGTTCACAAACAGCAACACCGCATGTGCTACACTGTGCCATGTGGCAGATATCTTTGATCAGTACAACAGTCTTTGAAACTATTGTTTATACTGGTTGCTGAATCAGGCCTTTTCATACAGAGAAAATAGTGGTGTTTTGGACAAAAAAAACCCATGAAAAACTGTAGCAAGAGAAAAAATATATAAAGGCAGAGGTAGATAGAAAAAGTTAAAACCAAAACATTGAGATACTTAAGAGCTAGATCACAGTAAAAAAGGGAAAAAATCATAGAGGAACAGTGTGCAGAAAGGCATGACAAAAAGAATTATACCAGTAAGAGTAAGTGCAACATCAGATGAGAGATTGGTAGCAAACAGTCATCAAAAGTGGAAAGTTTAGTCAGTATTGATGTAACTAGAGGATCTGGCTCTTTGCTATTTCAGTCAAAACTACATTCTTCACACCTGTATGTGTAGAGGAGGTGACAGTAAATTGGTTTCGCTGCAGAAATTATTGCTCTCTGCTGGATACATAGCTAGCTTAGTATTGCTGATACTCTTAACAGATTGTGTGCTTTGATTACCAGTGATTTATGTCCTGCATTTCAAGCCTTGGCTAATAAACTACTTCTACTAAGCACACATGTTGCAAAACAGAAGAAACAGATATCTTGCAGGGGGAAAAATACAAAGTGAAATAAAATAAGAACTTGCTCTGGGCATCTACACAGTTCTGATTTCAATCACTTAAAGATATCTTATTTATATTTATATGCATTGGTATTGAATAGGCTGAATTTTTTTACTACTTTCAGTCCCTCAAATATTGCAATATCTTCCTTTCATGTCTCTTCCAGATCCTGTTGTGATAATGCAAGTCATCCACCCAGATGGGAACCACTGCCTTTTAGGTAGGCAGAAGAGGTCTCCCCCAGGAATGTTTACCTGTCTTGCTGGATTTGTAGAACCTGGTGAGTCATTTCATTTTCCCTTACCAAATGTTTTTTCTTATCAATCAGTATTTTACATTGAAAATATTCTAGAAGTATGTTTGGTGTTATGTCAAAGAAATGTTTTTGCTTCCTGTTAGGTAAGTTGTTATAATATACATGCCTGTTTGGTACTTTCCAGCAGATAATTTATTAAAAAAAGCAAAGAGCAGCTTGAGTAAATATAATTTTAAAATAGTTTTCTCATTATGACTCTTAAATCACAGATTTAAGTGAAATAGCATTTTAAAACATGTATAAGGTCCTGTCTCTGGTGATGCTTAGCAAGGGATTTTAGCATAGGAAAAATAAGAGTTAAAACATACCTAAAGTTAACATAAAGTTAAGTATATGCTTGCATGTTTAGGGCTTGATTAATTATATGGAAGCTAAGCAGAAATTTTATAATTTGTGATAGTTTCACTTGGCTAGCCCTTG